CATTCCATCCAATGTATTACATCAATAACCAACTACCTATCCGACTAGGTATTAACTCAAATCAGAAGGTTTTGATATATCGAATTTTTAAGTTTGATTGAAGGGGTCTTGGTTTATTCAAGAAAACAAAATATTAATTATATAAATTATTATTTTTTTTCGTTGAATATACCTAACGGCTAGAAATGCTTGTAATCACCCTTGTATTTACCCTTTCTGAAAAAACTTACCTATCCGACTAGCACAGGTGAGCATTCATACAATGGCACCATAATAGAACTGCTGGTAAACAATGGAAATACGTAGATACACATGACATGAGGGTTTCTTACCTTTTCCAGACCAAAAGTCCAAAATGGAGACTGCAGTCTCAACTCTGAACAACTGCGGCAACAATGTAATAGGTTTTAGTCTCTCGTGTGGGACCTGTTATGGTATTAAAATATTATTTTTTAATAATTTTAAATAAAAATCAACCAATCAAACTAAATTTCAAGTAATATCTCCGTGGTACCGTAGTCTTGTACCCTCTCCCCTCACACACACGAATCTCCCACTCTCTCTCTTATCAGAGAAGCTTGGGTCTTAAACACGGTGGTGGGGGCATACATGTATAGACCACACACCAAATGAATGAGGATGACTAGAGACCGGTTCTGCACATGCACTGGAAGGGCAGAGGTGGACCCACCAAACCAGTAACCACCTACCTACACTAAAGGTCCCACCATCCACAGAGTCTCCATGTCATCATCAAATCAAATCAAATCAAATCAAATCACCTGCTACGGATACAGATATCACTGTTGCTATTCCCTCCTCACCACTCAACTGAAACACAGCCAATTCAATGTTACATCTGCTTCATGTTTATTCTTGACCAATCACACATTCCATTATCGATCACAATATTATAAATAATTACATTTACTCGAGATAATTCACATATTTTAATATAGATCATAATAAATTTTCTTTTAACCTCATTAGTAATAACTTCCATTATCATACTAAAAAAAAATTTGTTACCATGTAAAAAAATATTTTTGATACCACAATTATTTTTTCTCAATTAAAATGTTTTTATTATCACATTGACACCGATATTCAGACACAGGGTCACTTGTTCTAATAGTATATTAAACTACTATTTATTTTAATGTTTAAGCTATTAGGGAGATTATAATTTGAATATTTTTATATTCCATCACAATTAGATTTTTTTTTTTGTTTAACGATCAGGAGTGTCCGAACTAGTATATGTGCATCTTGATTAATTTCATCTTCAATCTTGTTAACGACAGGTAATTCACGCTGAAATTAAGGTATTCAAGAGGAATAAATCTCTCGTTGTTTTCATCTGAAGGAGTTGCTAAAATTTACACTCAAAATGTCTGAATTTATAACTTATTCTATTACCACTTAAACTATTCTTTAAAGTTACACAATTAGATTTTATTCAATTATAAATAAATCAAATGTGAATTAACTAGATTTTAATGGGATAAAATTTTAATACGATACAAAATTAATATAACATGACACCTTCTTAATATCAAAGGAGAATTAAATCTAAATTTTTTGAGATTTGTCACTTAATCACTCAAATCTCATGATATCAAAAAAAATATTATACACAGATCTCCTGAAGTTTGTACACACAGAACACTTAGACCCCTACTATATATATATATATATACATATCCGTTAGTAAATTACTTCAAGACCCCTTGAAATTTATAGATGTATAATATTTAGATAAAAAATACTTCAGTCAAATATATAATATCAAATATTTTAAATTTTAAAGAACCAAAATTCATGTTCTATTATGAAATTTATTGAAATAAAATCAAAATTAAAAAATTAATTTTTTCTTAAAAAGTTATAATTATTATACAATTACATTATCTATTAAACTATCAAATTTCCTCAATTAAAAGGCTAGAAGATATTGTGTCGATTACATTTGACCCCCTTGTTTAATTTTTTTAGTTTTATTCTAATAGATAGTATAATTTTATATTAATTATAATTTTTTTTAAAAAAAATTAAATTTTTACTTTTGATTTATTTTAATAAATGACATAATAGAACATAAATTTTAGTTGTAAAATTCATGTTCTATTATAAATGGCTTAGACCCATTGTTTAATTTTTTTTAGTTTTATTTCCATAAATAATATAATTATATACTAATTACAATTTTTTAAGAAAAAGATTGATTTTTATTTTTGATTTTATTTTAATAAATGATTAAAACATAAATTTTAGTTGTAAAATTTAAAATTTAAGCGTAATTTATTAACAGATATATTAATGAACATTGACAGAAGGAATTTAGGTATTACGCATATACAAAACTTCAAAGGATTTATATGTAATATTTTAAAATATTATGCTCCATTTGTTACGATGAAAAAATAAAAGGATGAAAAATTAGAGGAATAAATAAAATATCATATTTGATAAGGAAGAAAAATAAGAAAGATAAAAAAATAGATAAATGAGTTTTTTTTTCCAACTTATCAAAATCAATCCCTTCAAAATTGAACGAAAAAATAAAGGAAAAATAGTACTAACATTGGATAAAAATATGTTATTTACTAATTACTTATTTACATTAAATATATCTAAACCCAAACTTATATACCGATCAGTAGAATTACATTATGTGTTAACACTGCTTGTGTGTTTATTTTTAATTTTTATGTGATTTGTGTTTGTTAAAACACATGACGCATATACTATAATGACATGGTGTATAATATATACACTAATCTCATATAAAGATAAAATAATAAATTATAAATGTATTATTTCTATCTTTTTATTTTTCTCTTCAATGCCAAATATAAAAAAATTAATTATTTCTATTTTTTATCAATCTTATTAAATACAAAGAAAAAAAAATATATCATTTATAATTTTATTTTGATATATTTTTTATTTTTTATTTATCTAACATTTTATGTTTTTTATCAAATAAAATATTAAAGAATCTCATTGATTAAGCGATAAATCTCGATACCGTCTATTATCAATTTACAGGGACGGGGGAGCATAGGACAAGGCCCTCCCACGTGGCCACAGCGCAATAACAACGAGACAATCCCACTCACTCCCGTCACACCGCCACGATGGGTCATAATCGCGCATGGGAGTCGTCCACTCTTGCAGTGGTCCCCCACCACCACCCAAACCAACCGACCACATGACATGACTTCCTCCGTCCGTTAGCTTGCTTCTCCATGCCTTCTCGTACCTGCACCAAAACCCAAACGTGGGAAGGCGTTAAGCCAGCGATTAAGGAGGTTTTTGCCCATGCAACGCACCATAATCATTGTACAACTGAAGGTATAAATTATTCGATACAAAGCTAAGCTATAAATTCATATATCTCGAAAGAATTTGTTTTTCATAAATTTTAAAATGTAAATTAGATGATATTTTTTTGATTGAATTTAGACGAGAATTGATTTAGGTGTGCGTGAATTATTGTAAATATTTTTAATCTTAATATAAAATATGTGCAGATAAAATTTTTTTATCACAAGTGATGTGCCAAAATTTTTACCATCAAATAAGTCAAACTTATTAATATTTAATGATAACGATTGAATCACATTGTTTGAGATAAAAAAATTTAGATAAAATACTTAATAAACATAATATTATTGTATAAAATAAATAAATAAATAAACATGCTTTTACGACTAGCCACATAGTCACATTCCTACGTGACAATGGATGGCTTTGCCCAAATGAAACCAAGAGACTTTAATGTGTGAAAAGTTCTAATGTAGAGAAAAATAAATATACAGTTAAAGTTCAGTATACATCTTAAGATCAAACTGAGTCTGTCTTTTAAAAAAAAATTGCTCACAATGTCACTGATTTCTTATCTAAAAGTTATATTTGAAGCTGTCATTATCGTCGTTAAAGTTCAGGACTTGTTTGGTTTGTGTTTACAAAGTAATTTTTTGTTCTTAAATCTCTAAAAACAAGGGAGAAGTTGCTTGGATAGAGTTTTTGTTCTCCAATTTTTGTAAAATTATGAGAATTAAAGTATAATTTTAGAAAATAACAAAATAATATTTTTTACGAATGAATTTTTGGTCTAATGATACTCCTTATCTTATAAATATTTTATCTTCTTGATATCAAGAGTTCAAGTCTCCATTCTCCTTCCTTCCCAAAAACAATGGTGTGCTTAGACGCACTTTCACTTGATAGGACACAACGATGTCTTCTCTGATCTCTGTCTGTGTGCTCAGATCGTCTTCTTCGTTCTGTGTCTACATAGATATGAAGCATCGATGTGAGGGTCTGCATGTGTGTTTGTGTATGCATTTATGTTTATGCGTGTGTGTGTGTGTGTGTGTGTGTGTGGCTTTTGTGAAGCCAGGGAGAGGAAAAAGAAAGATAGTGATTAGAATTATTGTTCAAACAGATTTTTTTTTTTTTTGTTATTTAAAATTATTTTAAAAAATATATAATTAAACAAATTTTATAATTTAAAATTTTCAAAAACACATTCTTAAATTTTTTTTTAAAAACTATTTTCCAATACTTTTTTTGAAATACAAACTAAACATACCCTCATTTTTTCATACAGAAAAACATCTCACCTCCTTAGACTAGAAAATTTTGCAGAATAATTCTTCTCTCAAAACCCAAGAAATTGTGCCAGGAATTCATCTCCCTAAACACATCCTCAAAAACTGTTCAGAAAAGAAAAAAAAAAAAAAATCTCAAATCCTCAATCCATTTCTTTGTGTCTCCCAGAACTAATAAGTTTTCAACAGAATTCGTTCCCCAAAAACCCAGCAACACTTGTGCAAAGAATGAACTCTCTAAACTCCGGCAAAATATTCAATACAACTGTTAACGATGATATAAGGTATTCAATAATATGTAAACAAATAAATAAATAACCCGACACAAATCAATAACTATCTTTTTATGATAGCTAATAACTTTCTAATTTCACTCCATGTAGGTCAATAATTACCCAAATGCAAGAAACTGTTAAGTGAGGTTGGGCATATAAGGGTTACTGTTTTCTCAACATGAACACAAATATATAAGTGTTTGGCATTTGTATGCGATTCTCAACAATAAACAAGTAATTAAGGACATGAACAAGTGAAAAAAAAATACTATAATTTTCTCTATATATGATCAACTTAATTCCAAATCCACTAGAAACAAAAACCCAAAATGTCAACCAAAAAAGGGGGAAAAAAACTAACATCAAAGTTAGTTCCACAGAAGCAGTAAATTGAAGGCAAACACTTTCCAAAATCCACCCCAAGGAAAAGAAAAGACACAAAAATATCAAAGAAATGTACATAGAGAAACAAACAGTCATTCATATGCATACTTGTGTCTCTCTCTCTCTCTCTCTCGGTTTTTTTCTTTTCTTTTTTTTTTTTCCATATTTGCTTGAAGATTTGAGAGTCAAATGTTGAAATATATGAAAATTACGGGAGGTAATTGAGAGAATGATCGTTTTCACCCCACTGGGTTTGACTCCAGTAAGCTTGATCAACGCCTCCGCTGAGATCAAACAAACCTTGATCTACTCCGCCATGCCAATCCGGTGCCGCCAGTCCGCCATTACATGCCCTGTTCTGCAACCCGGAGAACTCAATTTCAGCCGTCTGATCTAAAAACCCAGCAGTGACCTCTTCTTGCATCTTCAACTCCTCGCCCACAGTGGTGGCCCCCATCATCTTCTGCTGTGGATTTTGCCACAGCTGATTCGGGCCATGATTCTGAACCACAGCGTCGTGGTGGTTTTCTTGCAAACGGTAAGAGGAAATGTCGGCGATGTTGAACCCTAGGCAAGACGGATCGTTGGATGACGTCATCAGACTCGTGAAGCTTCCCATCTCCGGGAACATCCCGCCGTCTGATGACTGATCAATCAACGGCTGATCAAAGCTAGGGGGGTTTATAGCCTGAAAATTGAAGAACCTGGTGGAGTCGGAAAAGTTGAGTAAAGTCGAAGGCGAGTTCGAAGAATTAGCCGAAACCGCTTCGGTCGTGGCGGTGGCTGCCGGGGTGCTGGTGGTTTTCGCGGCCGTGGTGGTGGCGGTGAGGCTTGAACTCTCACTACTGGAATGAGAGTTGCATTTTCGTTCCCGCGGGGCATTATCGGAGGATTTTGGCTTGGATCGTTTGGTTTTCCGGCAACCGCCGCCGACTGGGACGTTCCGGAGAACACCGCCTTTGGTCCAATACCTCCGGCAGCTCTTGCAGAAGTGCCGCGGCTGAGATAGGTTGTAGTTGTTGTAGTAGCAGAACTTGGTGTTGAGAGAGTCGCAACGAGGACACTTCAAAGCCTGGTGGTTCTGGTGGTGGTTCGGCCTCAGCCTCCGGTCACCGAACAACCGGCCTCCGCCTCCTTCTCCTCCGATCGAATGTATATCTTGCATTTCTACCAAAAATTCTCACTTGAATTGATAAACAGAAAACTATGACAACGGATTCCGATAACAATCGTTGAAAACCCAGCAATGAATTTGAATTTGTGAATTTTCAGGCAAATTTTCTGGTAAAATTCACATTTGCCAAATCTGAACGTGAACGTGAATGCGAATATGATAGCTCTCTCTAACCATACTGAGCTTCTCAGTTCGGACAAATATCCCCTGCATGTCTTCCAAACCACTTCTATATCTTACGTTTTATTAAATTAATACCAAAACAAAATCTAAATTACGTAACTAGCCCCGCAGTTTTAGTCAAAATAACTGTGCTCTCCACGTGGGCATTAAATTACCAAAATAACCCTACTAATATGTAGAACACTACATATGATGCCTGAAAAATTGCATAATAAATGAGTTGGATTAATTTTAAATGGGACACTTTTTTAATTAAATTAAATTTTATGACTTTGACAAAACTTAATTTCGTATGTGGATGTCATATATGTAAACGTAATATATACAAATAATTCTAATTTTAACAAGATAAATTTATTTAACTATTATTATATAAAAATAATAAATTTTTGATACAACAGAATTCAAGTGTGTTGTTGAAAGAGAAGAGAATCATAGTTTTGAATTGTTTGTAAATGGGTTATTAGGGTCAACTAAAATATGACATAACTAATAAATAAATTAATTTAGCACCAACACATATTTGGTAAAATTAATTAAATTTAAATTAACCAATGTTTGAGGTGATTAGAAATTTTTACAACTCAAATCTAGCACGACACTATTGAATTGTGACCCCTAACTTTTTTTTTTTTTTTTGGTAAATAAAATAGATGTACAAATAAATTATTTCACATATTCGACATGGATTTTATCTTTTACCAACACAAAATTATTTGTACGAGACTTTACTGCATTTATGTCGGGTCAAAGTTAAACTCTCATTATGTGTGTGTTCTAAACAATAAAGAATAAATTTGAATAGTGTTTGATAAAATTGAAGTTGATGTCTGAAAGTTGAAATCTAAAAACTGAATACTGATTTTTGGACTGTTTGGTATTTACTAAAAGTTAAGTACTGAATTTAACTAAACTGTTTGATAACTATATAAATTTGAGATTTAAAAATAAATTAATTTTCAGTTTTACCCTTCCACTTTTTAATTTGAAAATATTTATAAAATATGTTATAACATAAATCATAATCACTATTATTATATTGTAATCTATATTTAACAAATATTTGATCAAAATAAATAAATAAACAACATCTGAATAACACAATAAGCAAACAATAACAAATTGAATAATATAATAAGTGAACAATAACATTTGATAAAAAAAATAATTAATAAATAATCAAATAATATTAGAAAAATAAAATAAATTAGATTTTATTAACAATATGTGTGTGTGCCCGTGTGTGCGTGTGCAGTGCCTGCATTTGTGTGTATAATAATAATTATGTATGTATATTTTTGTTACAGAAAACAAGAGAAAGAAGAAAAAAAAGAAGAGATCGAGAAGGAGAATATATAAGTTAAGGGTTTTGAAGAAAAAATTAATTAGAGTTTTAATAGAATTGTAAAATATTTCAGGGTATAATTGTTATATTGTAAATATTATTAAAAATTGTTTTGCTAAGTTGAAAAATTAAGTAAAAAATCTCTTATTTAATATTGTAGTCTATTTTTAAGGAGCACTTAACATACTAAGAGAGTTTAAATTTTAATTATCAAATGGAATTAATTAATAAATGCTGAATATATTCATGTTAAGTGTTAAATTTAGATTAATAAACACACCCTTAATCTTATCAAATTATTGTATTTATGAAGTTTCGGAGTATTTAACCAAAAAATTCGAATTCTTAGGTCTAAATTGGTAATTTCAAAGAAACTCAATATCCTTTCCCTCTCTCTGTGGTGTGTTTCCACTGTCCACTTATTGATGGTTGGCGGGGCACACAGTTGGACGGTCACTCTGCCGTACGATCCGTGGCAAAGGCAGAATCGTCGGAAAGAGACACGTGTACGGCTGGAGAGGGTGGGATACTGCTGTCCACAAATCAGGATTGTCGCTTTGTCGGCCACCTTATTATCTATTTCTGCTATCTTGGTGCCAGTTACAACTGGTTTAGAGTCTGCCACGTTGCTTTTCTTCATTGGTTTGGTGTCAGTTGATTTTATATTAACACTGCTTCGAGTTTACTAATCACTACATGGTGCAACTCGAGGGGAAAGGACAGTTAATTCTAACACAATCTTAAGAATGCAGTTTTCAACTTTAATTTTATCTCCGATTGAAGAACTCAACTCGAACACTGTCTGAATTTAATTTGGATGAGTTTAAGTTAATTTCGAGTTAATGATTTTAAGTTGATTTCGAATTACTTTACGAGTTTAATTTGGGTTGAATTTGGATAAAATCCAAAATAGACTTGTTGAAATTCGGGTTAAAATTTTTTGATCCAAGTTTAACACAAATATTAAAATTTTTTGTCTAACCTCTAATTTTTTTGGGTTAGACTCGGGTTAAAATCAAGTTGTCCAATCCAAGTTGTACCCCCTCCTCCAAGTACCATGATTCTGACCGTTGATGACTAATAGTTGTTTGGGAATTAAATTTGCACACCTCTATTTATTCCTTCCAGATTAATTAATAGTTCGTTTGGTGCGATAAAAAAAATATAAAGTTGAAAAAATAAAAAATTAGAAGAAATAAATGAAATATAATATTTTGATAAAAAAAATAGGAAAGATAAAAAAATTGATGAATTAATTTTCTTTTTCAATTTACCAAAATCAATCTCTCTAAAATTTAGAGGAAAACTTGATGAAAAATTAATTATGTGTGTTAAAATATATGTTATTCATCTATATATCTTTTAAATATACATATTTATCAATCACATATTATGTATATATTAATTTTATATATAAATATAATAGTAAAATATGTATTTATATTTTTTAATAAAAAATAATAATTTTTCTATCTTATCAAACACAAAATAAATCAGTCATTCTTATTTTTCATCACTTTTATTAAACATAAAGGAGGGAAGAAAAGATTTTTCTCTTGAAGGATGAAAAATATATTACTTCTATTTTTTATCATTTTATTTTTCTATCCATCAAACCAAATGAACCATAAGAATTAAAAAAGGTTAACATGAATATTACAACTTTTTGGTTCAATGTTCTGTGATATCGAGTTTGGTTCGTTCGATTGAAATAATTAAGATTTGGGCCTTTAATATTTGGGTTTGAGTTCATATAATAATGACTTTTTTGAGCTAAACTTTATTATTTAACGCTCAACACATGCTGCAAAATCTTAGTTTCGACATCAATATAAGAACGATAAAATCTCCTGAAAATAGTTTTGTGGTTGACTATTGAGGAACAATATTTTATGGCGAATATATGGAATAACCTATATCCATATAATAAAAAAAAAATTGTTCTGCGATAAAAAATTAAGAAACAGATGGGTCCAACTATAGCATAGAAACAATATATTTTTTTAATCATAGTTTTGTTTTTTGTATAATTTAGATAAGACATGTGTAAAATTTTTAAATTTACTAAATTAAGATTATAATTATTAATAAATTGGGTAAATTACATTCGCACCTCCTGACATTTGGTTATATTATTTAGACACCCTTTTACATTTCAAAAAAGACACTGAGACTCATATACGGTTAAATACTGGATGTCCTTAATAGAAATGAGAAAATGATAATAATGTCCTTCATTCTAAATGAAAAAAAACAGAAGAAAAACACAAACGAACGCCATTTCCCAATGGTGACTGCCACCCAGAACCATCAACACCACTTCCCACCAGTATCTATCGCCTACAATTACACACCACCACAAAGTTATCACCGCCAAAACTCAAAACCCAGACCCAACTTTCCAAAGGCACAACCAAATACCTCAAAATCAAAAACTTGCCTCAGCCACCCACCACTTTTAGCCATAAGCATCGCAAAGAGAGAGAGAGAGAGATTTCTTTCAATATTCCATATCTGAGTTCTTCATGGTCAAATGAAGTAGAGAGTTTTCAAAATTTTGAGATCTAATTTTTTTCGATTTTTAAATCTAAGTTCTTCACAGTTGAAGGGGACACTACACTGTCTATCAACCACACACACAGAGATAAAGAAACTCAGGCAATGGGGGGGGGGATTTATTTGTGGGTGTTGTAGAGGCGTTTGTTTTTGGGTTATGGACTCACGATGCTTGGTGGATTTCACTGTAAGATGGGTTGTGACGATAGAGATTAATGGTTTGGTGGGTTTGTGTTGTGAATTTGGGGGGCAAATTGGTTGGGTTTGTATGGTTGATTTCATTGGTGGTGGAGGTGGCAATTGGTGGTGCATGGTAATTGTGTATAAATTAGAATTGAATTTGGGGGCCAAATTTAAATTAATGAATGAAATTAACTATAACTAAAAGAATTTTGGAGATAAATTACCTTAATTAATAAATTGGTTTGATTTAATTAAATTTTAAGACGAATATGATTAAGAGATGGTTAATCTCAATGATATAAGGGTAAAAAAGTGTTTTTAATGAAAAAGTTAACGTCTGTCATACAAAGAGAGTGCGATTGTCACAAGTGTTCAAATGTCAAGGGATTTTAATGTTATTTTTGAAATGTAAGGGAGTGTTCGTATAATAAAATTAAATGTCAAGGAGTGCGAGTATAATTTACTCTAATAAATTTTAATATGGTACCAATTTTTTTATAAGTACAATATATAGTTTTATTTGAAAGAAACTGGTTAAACTAAAAACTAAGTGTTGATATGTTTGATATATAAATGATATTTATATTTGAAATGTATACATAGAATTAACCTTAATTATGCACATTAGGTCAATGGAGACGGAAATGTAAATTATAAGATAGTACACCATTAAGATAGTTGTGTGAATATTGTTGGCACGACACAGGGGTGCTAATCACATCATCATTGACACGATTTGCTCGGTGAGAACTCACACTCGAAGATTTGGCTATCTAACAAGATATTTTCTTCAAAAAGATAAAATTTTATACTCTTTAAATATCAATCACTCATATTTTTCAGAGACATGTTTTTAAATTAACTCGAGTTATGGTGATTAACTCAAAATTTAAGAAAGTAGTCGACACAAACTTGAATATATCCACTAGGCTGAATATCGGGTGAACATGT